ACTGCTACCCATCTCCGACTTCACCTTCAGAACTGTAAAATGTGTGTGTATGTGTGTGTGTGTCTGTGCGTGTTTGCGTGTGCCTCTGTGTGTGCGTGTGTGTTTGCGTGTGTCTGTGCGTGTGCCTCTGTGTGTGTGTTCGTGTGTGTGTTTGTGTTCATGTGTGTCTGTGTGTGTGCGTGTGTGTGTCTTTATGTCTGTGTGTGTGTGTCTGTGTGTGTGTCTGTGTGTGTGTGTGTCTGTGTGTTTGAGATGGAGTTTTGTTCTTGTTGCTTGTGCTCAGGCTGGAGTGCAATGGCACGATCTTAGCTCACCGCAACCTCCACCTCCCGGGTTCAAGTGATTCTCCTGCCTCAGCCTCCTGAGTAGCTGGGATTATAGGCATGCACCACCATGCCTGGCTAATTTTGTGTTTTTAATAGAGACCGGGTTCTCCATGTCAGTCAGGCTGGTCTCAAACTCCCAACCTCAGGTGATCCGCCTGCCTCAGCCTCCCAAAGTGTTGGGATTATAAGCATGAGCCACTGCGCCTGACCAAACGTGTTATTTTAAGCCACTAACTTTGTGACGATCTGCTGCTGCAGAAATAAAAAATGGACACAATGAGCCAACGATGAGCTGGTCAAATAACGATCCAATCCCAGCAAAAGGAGAATGAAAATTCTCCAGTGGTTCGGGCAGGATAGAGATCCCTGGGGACCTTCATGGTATTAAATAGTAGTTCAATGAGGATGAAAGCAGATTGGAATAGATGGAGGAGAACCTGAGGGTGGGGGGTAAAGTCTGGAAACAGGCTCATCCTTAGAGGAAATTTGTTAGGAAAGAAAGCCAAGAAGTGTGTCTATGGAGGGGAGGAGCAGAGGTGCGCATGGGCTCAAGGGAGTCTGTTCTTGTTTTTTAAGAGAGGAGACAGTGTTGCATGCTTGGCCCCTGACAGGGCCAGAACCCACAGCCCTGCAGTGCTGGTAAGGATGACCCAGGAGAGAAGCACAAATGTGATGAGCAAGAGAGTCTGCGATCCCTCTGGAAGTCCTCTACCCGACCCCGAGTGCTCTGCAGCCAGGAGCACAGGTGGAAGACAGAAGACCAATGCCTCAGCCCAGCCTTCCATGGAAGACGGGGATCTGTCCCAAACAACATGGACACAGGAATCCCTCCTGGAGCCACTCCCCTCTCCGGGTTTGATTCTGTAGCCCCTTGACCCATCCTTTCCATAGCCTGTATCCCAGGGGCTCTGAGGTCTCTTGGACTTCCATTTGCATGCTTCCCCGAGCAGCAAGAATGCATTGATCTTGTCCTTTGTGTTTCCTGGGGACATACCGAGGGCACTGGATAAATGCTTTGCTGAATGATGATAAGGGCCACCTCTGTTGAGCACTCACTCTGTGCCAGGGGCTTTACTAACCACAGGTGTGAAGCACCCAATCATCTCCATTTTATAGGCAAACAAGTTGAGGCCCAGGGCTACATGCTGGGTAGATGGCAGGGTCAGGACTTGGACCCAGGCAGTCCAGCTTGAGGCCCCTCCCATAACCAGCACACCTCATCGCCCATGGCAGGTAAGGGAGCCCAGCAGAGGGGAGCTGAGGCCTTGGAGATGGCGTCTGAGCTTGGGTTTGAAGGATCAGTGAGACTTTGCCAGTGAAGGAGGTGGGAAGAGACTCCCAAGTGAAGAGACAAGCTTAAGCAGATGTACCAAGGCGGGAGGTTCGTGCTGAGTGACAGGAAGCTCCCGACACTGCTTCCACGTTCCTGCGTAATCGGAATGTGGAAATGGGAGGGGTGCAGGGTGCAAGGCCCAGTTAAGGAAGTCTGCTTTGTTTTGTAGGCAATAGAAAGCCTAATGGAGCCGGATACAAACTGCATGGTGCCAGGGCACCTCCTGACAGGGCCCATAGCCCACGTGTGGTCACAGGGCTACAGCGGCAGCATTCCAAAGCCCCAGCCTTGTCCATCACCCTCAAAACTGCCTCTGGCTTGTCCAAGTCTACCGGGATTCAAGTTCGTTTCAGAAAAGCAGTGGCCAGACACCAAGGCCTGGAGGGGGCTGGGGAGGTGTCAGGGAAGGGATCAGAGGCCAAGCTCTGTGTTCCCTCAGACAAAGAGAGAAAGCAGGCTGAGAGATGGCAGCAGCATGTGACACCTGGGCCACAGGCCTGGACAGCAGCCGTGGCAGCCAAGGGGATAATGGCTCTCTTTGTCCTGCGTGTAAATTCTCCGGAAAAGAAAGGATTCCAGGGCCTGCTTCTCCAACTTGCACAATGCTGGCTGCCTGGGGCCCCACTGCGAGGGCCTGCCATGGCATTCAGGGAGCAGTGAGGCCCCTTCTCTGTCTCTTTCCTTCCACGCATGCAGAAGCGGAAAGTCAGGCTGGTGTGCCAAACATCCTGCAGGGGGCTGGGAGGCTGGGCTGAGGCACAGCCTGCGCCAGCAGCTTTGTTTCATAGCCTCAAGGAAACCAAAGAATCCTGAAGCTCTGAATTAGAAAGAGTCTTAGAGGACATCCGTGCCAGCTCTTCCCCATGCTTGTCCCACCCCCACCTCTCTGCCCACCACTTGCCACTCTCCTGCCTTCAGCAGCCAAGATGATTACAAACACAGGCTTTGGAGTCAGAGAAGGCTGAGTTCAAGTGCTGACAACGCCAGTCACAATGACAAGCTATTTCATCTCTATGGGCTTCAGTTTCTCCACCTGCAAAATGGACACAATAGCACCTACTCATAAGATCGCCAATAGGAATAAGTGAGAAAATACATGTCCCACGCTTCACACGGACGCAGCCTCCAGATGGGTGAAATAAGAGTAGACAGTCCAGTAGGTCATTCAGCCTGTACTTGATTTCCTCCAGGGGCAGGCGATCACTGCTTGCATTCCATTTTCAGACCAAGTTCAAATCTGTCTCTTATACCGTCGTGGGTGCTGAGGGTAGAGAGGAGGGGGCCTATATGCACTAAACATTTCCTGTATGCTACTGTCACCGTGAATTACTCACAGAACTTAAGTGCCTGCCTTAGTCCATTTCTGTTGCTATAAAGGAATACCCGAAGCTGGGTCATTTATAAAGAAAAGAGGTTTCTTTGGCTCACAGTTCTGCAGGCTGTACAAGAAGCATGGTGCCAGTGTCTGCTCTGCTGAGGGACTCAGGAAGCTTCCATTCATGGAAGAGGGAAGCGGAGCCAGTGTGCAGCGATCACATGCCAAGAGAGGAATGGGGGTGGTGCAGAGGTGCCAGGATTTTTACCAACCAGCTCTCACAGGAACAAATAGAGTGAGAGGTCATTTATTACAATGCAAGGGTGGCACAAAGCAATTCATGAGGGATCAGCCACCATGACACAAACACCTCCCATTAGGCCCCACCTCCAGCACTGGGGATCCCATTTCAACATGAGGGTTGGAGGGGTCAAATATTCAAACCACAGCAGGGCCTGTCCCGGCCCACAGAGAGGAAGTGACCAGGACTTGAGCCTGAGTCTTTCCAGCCTTCTGCACCATGATGCCACAAGAGAACACTTCATGTATGTGAAAACAGCTTCACCGCCCCCCTCAGTGTCTTCTCATCCCCACGGAAAACATCTCCTGGGCCTCAGGGTTTAGTTTTGTGTTCTGCCACCATCCTGGCCCCTATCTTCTTGACAGGCTCTAATTTGTCACTGTCCCTCTTAAATAAATAGCCTGCAGACTTGACATTCCAGTTGTCTTCTGACCAGTGCAGAATAGGAATGCACTCTCACCTCCTTTATTATAGGTGCTATGTTTTTACTAATAACACCTAAGATTACTCGGCCCTTGGACCATTCACTGCTGGCTCTCTCATACTCACTGTGTTCAGTACAAGAAAAATGAGGCCTCTGTGCTCTGAATAGCTCGTAGCAGTCATTGCAGATCTTCATTGTGGTAATAGAACCTTCCTCAGCTAGTTTAAGCAGTTAAGCCTCTTAGAGATTTGGTGGCTCACAGACTCTCCAGCAAGGCTGAAGAATCAGGCTTGGAAAAGACACAACCAGGAACAACTCACCAGCCACTCCTGACCAGGCTTCTCCACTGGAGACACCACTGTCATTAGATAAGAAGGCACCAGCTCACCTTGCTGATGCTGGTAGAGCACTGCCACTAGACCCTCTGCCTCTGCTCCTCTTGGTCTCCCATACTCAGTACCTCTTTCATCACCTTGGTCTCTTCTAAGCCTTTCTGGGTGCATTTCAGGGATTAAATGAGTGAACAGATGTATAGTCAGCCTCCAACATGGCTCCAGTAATTCTCACCTCCTGGTACTGTGTCCTTGTATAGGCCCCTCCCACACTGGATTGGGCTGACATGTGTAACCAACAGGATGTTGCAGAAATCGGATAGTGTGACTTCAAGACTAAGTCATATAAGACATTGTAACTTCTGCCTTGCTCTCTTGGAGCACTTGCTGTAGAGGAAACCTGCTGCCATGTCATAGGGACACTTGAGCAGCGCTCTGGAAAGATCTACATGGCAAAGAACTGAGGCCTCTTGCCAACCCCCTGCACAAATGAGCCAGGCGTGCAACACACCATCTTGGAAAGGGATCCTGCAGCCCCAGTTGAGCCTTCAGATGATGCAGCTCCAGCTGACATCTTGGCTGCAACCTCATGAGGGGCCCTGAACCAGCACCACCCAGCCAAGCTGCTCCCAGACACCTGAGCCACAAAAACTGTGTGAGATAATGAAATAAAATAAATTTTAGCATTTGTTGCTTATATATTGGGAGAATTTGTTATGGAGCAATAGATAACAAATATAATACATGTAAAGACTTAGAACACTGCCTAGCTCAGAGTCAGCAGTCCTTAAATGCTGTCATTATTTTTATCCTCACCGGCCTCTGTGTCAAACGCCAGGAGCTGTCACCTCTGCAACCTGGGGAGTCTGGAAAATGAAAAATACTCATGATTGTACTTAATCCTCCCAGCAACTCTATGACTGGGTGCACCAGTATTCTTCTTTTACAGATCCTGAGAGGTTGAGCCACTTGCCTTGGGTTCCAGGGAGAAAGGTCCAGGATTTGAGCCCTGGCCTGACTCCAACCCACCATTTAATTCTGTCCCATGTTCAACAGGCACCAAGCACAGGCTGGAATTCACTGTGGGAAGCTCGCAGTTTTGTGAATTGTCACTTCAAGACTCCATGAGGATGGCATGGGGAAGCTGGAGGATAAGCAGAATCAGAAAGGGAGAGAAGCCCAGACTTGTAATGAATCTCAGGAGCAGAGCTTTTGACACCAGCACTCAGCCCTTTGGGCAAAGGTGTCACAAGAACCCAAGGCAGTTTGGCTGATGGGAAGCACTGAAAGCTGACAACTCCTTACCAAAGATTTTTCCGGATTAAGGTGCAGGCTGTCTGGGAAACAATCAGTTTTTCTCCAAGGAAGCCCCAGGGCTCCCTCTCAGGCTGAGCTGTTTTCTCCACTGCAGAGACTCAGCTTGTTTCTTTACCACATTTAAGCTGCCACCACTGGCTCTCATCTTGGGGAGCTGCACTGTCCCAGTCCCAGAGCCACCCATGGAGTGCAATCTAGCCTCCCCTCCTCACTTCTTTTCTGTTTCCCAAACACGCACCTAAGCCTGTTTCATTGTAGGGTTTTTCTTGCTGATTGTGGGGAAGCTAAATAGACAATGGAAAGAGTTTTAAGAACTGATAACCTGATAGCATGGAGTAATGGGGAGAACAGAGGTTTGAAGATAGACCTGTCTAGACTCCAGTGATAAAATTATATCATTGATCTGGCTGAGAACAAATGACACAACTTCCTGGAGCCTCAGTTTAGTCATCCCAATAATAAAGATAATCCTTTACAGAGGGCAATTGAGCAAAATCTCTTGAAATCTAAAAGGCATACATTTGGCCAGGAGCGGTGGCTCACGCCTGTAATCCCAGCACTTTGGGAGGCTGAGGAGGTAGATCACCTGAGGTTAGGAGTTCGAGATCAGCCTGGCCAACATGGTGAAACCTCATTTCTACTAAAAATACAAAAAATTAGCCAGGCATTGTGGCACTCATCTGTAATCCCAGTTATTTGGGAAGCTGAGGCAGGAGAATCGTTTGAACCTGGGAAGCGGAGGTTGCAGTGAGCCATGCCACTGCACTCCAGCCTGGGCAACAGAGCGAGATTCTGTCTCTAAATAAATAAATGAAATGCACACACTCTTCCACCACCAAGAAGCTGCCCTACAGAAATAACTCTTACCTATGCCCAAAATTCAATGCATAAAGAGTTCCATGACAACAATGTTTATAGCAAAATTTGTCAATTTCCACCCATTGGGAAATAGGTAAATGAATTATGGAGCATCCATATGATGAAATTGTTCTGCAGTTGTCAAAAAAATGAAGTAGAAAAAAGGAAATAGGTCAACAGCTCTTTCTTCTCTTCCAGGGATTTCATGTACAGTCCTGCCTTAACCCTGCTTGCCTTCCTTGTTGCCTACGACCATGTCTTCTCACTGTATTTGGTACCACACCTGGAGGAGCCCCTTGAAACCAGTGGAGGGTCCACAGGAGCTGGTGAGTAGCGGAATGCCACAGAGCTGGGTTCCCTGCTATGTAATAGCTGATCTTCTGACCCTCCCGAAACCACCTTCCTTTACAGACAGGCAGTGGAACCCAGGCCTCCCAATTCTTAGCCCAGGGATCTGGCACTTTCCCCAAGCCCTCAAACCTTTCTTATCAGTGTCCAAACTCAGTGTCTCCTCATCATTGTCCTTGGCTATTGCCACAGCCTTAACTAGGGTGTCTTTCTGCCAGTCTGTCCTCTACATTGCTGCCAGAATAATCTCTTAAAGCACAGCTCTGCCTTAGCCTAGTTCCTGGGTAGTGACAGAGGGAAATTCCACCCCACTAGTCAATCTCACATGATCTCCCACTAACCCCCTTTAAGAAGAGCCTTTGGTGGGGGCACGGTGGCTCACTCCTGTAATCCCAACACTTTGGGAGGCTGAGGTGGGCAGATCATCTGAGGTCAGGAGTTCAAGACCAGCCTGGCCAACATGGTGAAACCCCATCTCTATAGAAATACAAAAATTAGCTGGGTGTGGTGGCATGAGCCTGTAATTCCAGCTTCTTGGGAGGCTGAGGCAGGAGAATCACTTGAACCTGGGAGGCAGAGGTTGCAGTGAGCCAAGTTCATACCACTGCACTCCAGCCTGGGCTACAGAGAGTGACTGTCTCAAAAAAGAAAAGAAAAGAAAAGAAAAGAAGGCTCTTTGCTTCAGCCATCCCCATGCCTGGCAAAGGCTCTCACCTTTGCCTTTGTTTATACTTTTTCCCCTTCACCTGTAAAGGGGGTTCTTACCTGGATCTGCTTTTCTGCTGGGACCCTTTTCCCTCTTTTTATACCCAAATCCTACCGATCCTCTCACAGGGAACCTCCAGGAAGCCTTCTCTGATCACAGTCTTTCCCTCCATTCCTCCTACCCAGTGGCTCGGAATTCCACCATTTACGGGACTGATCTCTGCCTTTAGGCAGGGAGAATAATCATCACAGAGGGTTTCCCTTCCAGTCTCCACCCCTGCCCCTGGGACCTGGCATTTCCTAGGCAGCAGATGCTCAATAATGACTTGAAAAATGATTAATGAGTAAACCAGAGCAATGGACTACTACAGGAATAATTTCCAAGTGAATGTAAGAGTAAATGAATGAATTGCCCTGAATCAGCGAAGGAATGATTAACACTGACCTTGGAGTCTCAGGGTCACTGGTTCCTTTTTCCCCAAATCATTGAAAGCTGACAATGCGCTGATCCCTGTCACGGTAAAGAAAGTCCAGATACACCCCAAGGATGCAACTTTCTGGGGACTCCATGAGGACGTCCCAGTAGAGAAACAGCATAAGCAGCAGCCACAGAAGAGGACATGTAGATGTCCAAACAAATACAAAAATAGAGTCACCTTCACTTATAATTTCTAAAAAGTAATTTACAATGAGACATGGTTTTGTTCTCCTGTTAAATGTGTAATGCTTAGTTGGCAGAGAAGGGGAAACAGGTAGTCCCCAATACTATTGGTGGGAACATAACCCTATCTAACATTTGTGGAAGTCAATCTGGAAATGAACATACAAATTTTGAACTTGCAAACATGTGTACCCTTTGACCTAGCAATTTCACTTTAGCAATAAATCCTAAAGAAATAATTGGACAAGAAGAAAAAGATGTATGTACAAGAATTTTGGCTGAGCATGGTGGCTCACTTCTGTAATCCCCACACTTTGGGAGGCTGAGGAGGATGGAGTCTTAGGGTCAGGAGTTTGAGACCACCTGAGCAAGATACTGAGACCCCCCATCTCTACAAAAAATAAAAAATCAACCAGGAATGATGGCACATGGCTGTAATTCCAGCTACTTGGGAGGCTGGGGTGGTCGGATCCCTTGAGCCTGGGAGATTGAGGTTGCAATGACCTATGATTGTGCCACTGCCCACCAGCCTGGGTGACAGAGTGAGACCCTGTCTCTGAAGAAAAAAAAAATGTATTTCAATCTTGTTTATAAAAACAAAAAGTAGGAAATAATATGTCTATCAATAAGAGTCTAGTTATACAATTTATGCTTTAGCCACACAATGAAACAATCAAACCCTGTGCAACCATTAAAAAGAATGAGCGAGGTCCTTCTGTAGAGACAGGACATAATACTCTCATATCATTAAGTGACCAAAGCAGATGAAAAATCATATGATCTTTCTCATACATGATTCACAATTTTTATATGTGAATGGAAGAAGTATGGAATTCTGTGCACCAACACGGCTAAGATTGTGAAAGGAAGAAACATTTTCATGTTTTTAAATATGCAATTTTTTCTTTTTTTTTTTTCTTTTTTTTGAGACGGAGTTTCACTCATGTTACCCAGGCTGGAGTGCAATGGCGCGATCTCGGCTCACCGCAACCTCCGCCTCCTGGGTTCAGGCAATTCTCCTGCCTCAGCCTCCTGAGTAGCTGGGATTACAGGCACGCACCACCATGCCCAGCTAATTTTTTTGTATTTTTAGTAGAGACGGGGTTTCACCATGTTGACCAGGATAGTCTCGATCTCTTGACCTCGTGATCCACCCGCCTCGGCCCCCCAAAGTGCTGGGATTACAGGCTTGAGCCACCGCGCCCAGCCTCTGTTTTTAAATAATCAGTGATTATTTTTATAATCAGAGAAATACATGATATACGAAATATTGAAAAGTTACTTTCATAATCAAAAACAATATATTGGTTTAAGCCATGTGCTGAAGAGCTCAAGAAACAGCAGAAGGTCTTGGTTTGGGCCTCAGCAGCCCTGTACCTGTTTTCCCTGCTCCCTGGCCTCTGCTCAGTCACTGCCCAACGCCTCATTCCCTGGTAAAGGCTGCCCCAGCCCACTTTCTTTTTTTTTTTTTTTTGAGATGGAGTTTTGCTCTTGTTGTCCAGATGCCCAGGCTGGAGTGCAATGATGCGATCTTGGCTCACTGCAACCTCCACCTCCCGAGTTCAAGCAATTCTCCTGCCTCAGCCTCCCGAGCAGCTGGAATTACAGGCATGCGCCATCATGCCCAGTTAATTTTGTATTTTTAGTAGAATCGGAGTTTCTCCATGTTGGTCAGGCTGGTCTCAAACTCTGATCTCAGGTGCACCTGCCTCGGCCTCCCAGAGTGCTGGGATTACAGGCTTGAGCCATTGTGCCTGACCCAGTCCACTTTCTAGAACACGGAAGCAATGGTATTTTCTACAGCAACCTCAAGAGCAACCTCCAGAATAAACCATGGGCTCACTTCAGTCCCTGCCCAAGAGAGTGGGGATATGAAGGTCCCACAGCTGAAAGGGGGAGGGAACTGCACTGGGCGGACCCTTGGGTACAGGTGTCCTCTTCCGGGCCTTGCCATCTTTGTTCCAAGGTCACATTGCCTGTGGCTACTGCCCTGACCCCTCTTAGAACTCAATGACTTCATCCACAGCCCCAGGATATGAACTAATAAGGCTTGGTCAGAGTCTCAAATAAACCATACTAGGCGGAGGGGAAAAGGGTGTTATTTAACCCAAAAGCTCCATGGAAATGAGGCAACATAGTAAAGCAGCATTTGCTAACATTTTTTATTGTTACTAATTATTTAGAGACAGGATCTCACTCTGTTGCCCAGGTTGGAATACAGTGGTGTGATCATAGCTCACTGCAGCCTTGATCTCCTGGGCTCAAGTGATCCTCTTGCCTCAGCCTCCCAAGTAGCTGGGACTACAGGCAGGCACCATCACACTCAGTTAATTTTTTTAAATTTTTTGTAAAGATGGGATCTTGCTTTTTGTCCAGGCTGGTCTTGAACTCCTGGCCACAAACAGTCAATGGCTTTGGACCTAATCTTTATGAGCTTCAGGTTTTTTCATTTGTGAAATGAGATGGTGATTCCTATCTCTTAGAATTGCTTTGTGGAATAAATAGAGTGTACATAAAACATACTAACTCAGTACCTAGCAGATAATAACTAATCAATAATTAGTCATTGCTCTATTAATCTTATTGCTGTTACATTTTGGTGTGTAGAAGGTGACGTGCCTTCTTTACCTGCCCTCTCATCATACCAGCTGGCCGGTTTCAATGGGGAGCTGCCTGGCACCAGCAGGGCTTTCATCAGCAGGCGTAGACCCCTGGCGAGCAGTTGGGCATCAGCTGATTAGAATGTCACGGAGGAGATCCAACTGTAAGCTACCTTAAGCTGTCTTCGGGAGGAAGTGAAAGAACTGCCAAGTGAGAGTTACTGAAGCCTTGAGTGGGTTACACTGTGTCTTCCCACCAAAAAATGTCCTAATCCTCGATACGTCTGCATGTCACCTTATTTGGAAATAGTGCCTTTGCAGACTATCAAGTTAAGATGAAGTCATAAGGGTGAGCTCTATACCAGTATGACTGTGTCCATATAAAAAGGGGAAATTTTGAGACGGACAGACATGCACACAGGGAGAATGCCACATGAAGGTGAAGGCCGAGATCAGTATGATGCATCTGCAATCCCAGCAATGTCCATGATTACCAGCAAACCACCAGGGGTCAGGAGGGAGGCATGGGGCAGATTCTCTTTTGCAGCCCTCAAAAGAAACCAACCCTACTGACACCTTGATCTGGACTTCTAGCCTCCAGAACTAGAAGG